GTACTTTGTTTCCATTGATGTCACCTTCCTTGAAAAACAACCATATCACTCTAAAATGCCCATTCAGGGGGAGAGTTTTATTCAGAATTGGCCATTTTCCTAATCTCAAAGTAGCCTTCCAACCGAAACACCAACCTTTGTTCAACCATCCCACTTTCAACCCTTGAATGAACCTGAACCTACTCTTGACCAACCCCAAGAACCATCTGAACACCAAACCCCAGATTTTAGGATAAATGAGGCTAATGATGTATCTCTCTAGAATGATGATAGTGCTGACCAAAAGCAGATGTAGGCTCCAAAATAGTAATCTTGTGCAGATAGTCAACACACATCACACCAATCATCTCTTTCATCCTCAAATCTGCAGTCTAATGATCTTGGTTGGCCTATTGCTTTGTGAAAGGTGGTAAGATCTTGTACGGAAGCATCCAATTGGTAATTTTGCCACTTATGAATGGCTATCTCCCTCTACAAAGGCTTTTACTGCTAGTGTGTTAACTGAATCCATACCAAAAGACGTGTATGAGGTATTATAGATCCCTGGTTTGAGAATTGCTATCCCTGATGAAATGGAGGCTTTGAAGAAAAATAACACTTCGGAGTTGATAGAACTACCCAAAGGTAAAACTATAGTTAGTTGTAGATGGGTTCCCACAAACAAATATAACCCATATGGGAGTCTAAACAAGCACAAGGCTCGTCTTGTAGCTTGGGGTTTTACATAAACCTATGGAATTGATTATTAAGAAACTTTTATTCCACTAGCAAAGTTCAATACCATCAAGGTACTTCTTTCCCTCGCTGCAAATCTCGATTGGTCTCTTCATCAACTAGATGTGAAAAATGCATTTTTAAATGGTAATTTAGAAGAAGAAGTTTACATGAAAATTCCTCCTGGTTTTAAGACTAGTAGAAATAAAGGTAAGGTGTGAAAGTTGAAGAAGTCATTATATGGCTTGAAACAGTCTCCATAAGCTTGGCTTGAATGCTTTACTAAAGTAGTTAAAAAGAATAGGTATACTCAGTGTCAATCAGATCAGACATTATTTATAAAGCATAGAGATGGAAAGATAGAAACTCTAATTATCTATGTAAATGATATTATTCTCACAGGTGACAATACAAGTGAGATAGAAAGCCTCAAGAGAATGTTGGCTGTAGAATTTGAAGTAAAGGACCTAGGGGCATTGAGATATTTCTTAGGAATGGAAGTGGTGAGGTCAAAAGATGGAATTACGATTTCACAAAGGAAATATACTCTTGATTTGTTGAAGGAAACATGTATGCTTGGATGTAGACCATGCGCTACTCCTGTGGAATTAAACTGCAAACTTGGTTTAAATCCTAAAAGTACTTTAGTTGGTGAAGAAAAATATCAGCGATTAGTTGGCAAACTTATATATCTCTCCCACACAAGACGTGATATAGCCTATGTAGTGAGTGTGATGAGTCAATTTTCTAGTCAACCTAATAAAGAACATATGACAGCTGTGTTCAAAATTGAGGTAACCTGAAGCCCACACTAGGGAAGGGACTCTACTTTAAAAAGGGAGTTCATAAAGGGATTGAAATTTACAAGGATGCTGATTGGGCTGGTTCTATCACCGATAGAAGGTCCACAACAAGTTATTGCACAATTACTTCAAGAGACTTGGTGACTTGGAGGAGCAAGAAACAACTAGTTGTCTCTCGAAGTAGTGCAAAAGCATAACTTAGAGCCTTAGCTCTTGGATTGTGCGAAGGTTTATGGCTTGAGAGGCTCTTTAAGGAGCTAAGGATGTGTTACAATGGTCCTATGAAGGTATTTTGTGGCAATATGGCAACAATTAGGATTTTCCAAAATCCTGTTCATCATGACAAGACCAAGCATGTGGAGATAAGATCATCATTTATCAATGAGAAGATAGAAGGCAAAGCTATGGAAGCGAAGTATATACCTACAAGACAACAAGTAACAGATTCACTCACTAAGTCAATTGCACGACCCAAGTTTGAAGAACTAACTAGCAAGCTGGGAATGAAGAATATATACTATCCACCTTGAGAGGGAGTGTTAGAAGGCTTCAGGCCCAGGCCCAATAAATAAGCTTGATCATTAAGTTTTATCTATTTAATATCTTTGAATTATTTTAATGATATTGTTTTATTCTTCCAGATTTAGAGGATTAGGATCTGATTTGAATTTCAAATTAGATATTAGTTCATTCTTTATTTTGATTTACTTTTTCCTTGTAACCCTAATTTGCTCTATAAGTACTGAGCTTTTGACTAGTAAAATAATGAATTGAGATGACTTTTTCCATCAGTTAATTTCATTTATATATTTCAGTAAAATTTTATTACTCCTTCCATTCAAAAATAAAGGCATTTTAATCAAATCTCACCTCTCAATAAAGTAATTACCTACTTTCCAACTAACTCTATCTTTTTATATTTATCCCTATTAAACACCCTCCAATAAATATAAAGTCATTATCAATTTGGGAACTTTTGAAAAAAAAACAATGATTACACCTCAAAAGACTAAATGTCTTACATTTTTGAACATCCAACTCCTCAAAAAATGCCTTATATTTTTGAACGGAAGGAGTATCACTTTCTCTAGTTTTTTTTAATAATATGTCATTTTCCCTATTTATACTCAACAGACACTTGTAAAAATTATTTCTTCTAAGATATATAAATAAATATAAATATGAGACTTTTTTTTTTTAAGGTTTTTCAAGGATTTGAATTTGAATTTGAATGGAGCTACCAATGGCTTTATAGTTTAGTGACATTTAAACTACCTTGTAAGTAGGAAGTTGTGAATTCAATCCTACTCCTTAAGTCTTAACCTTAGGCCATTAGTGCTTATCCCTCTAATTCAAAAAAAAAAAAAAAAAAGGAATGGAGCTCTCGTGAAAGTACTAGTCATTTTACCCCCTCAAGTATCATTTTCTCTTTTGGTTATGTTATAGTTCCCTCTCACTCTATCCTTATTCAAGATTTCAGTTAGGGATGTTCACGGGACGGGACAAGACCGGGATTGAATTTTTGTCCCGTGTCTTGTCCCATCTCGTCTCGAAAGTCATCCAATCCCGTTAGGAACTGGGACGAGACCAGGACAAGATCGGAGACAACTATACATTGTGATAACAATTACAAGTGATTTTTAGGCTATAACAGCAGCAGCAACAAGCAAATTAAGTACAATATTAAATTATTGTTATTTTATTAAATAGATAGATATAAGAATAAATTATATTAATATAATTAATATATTAGAAAGATATCACTTTATTTATTCTATGTCATTAGAATTATCAATATAAAAAACTTTACTTTTTAAATAAGAATTGCACGTATTGAAATTATAATTGATATAATTAATATAAGTATAATTAATATATTTAATATATATTTTTAAAATAAAAAATAATATATATATATAATATTTAGGATGAGACTAGACGTCCTGATGATAATCCTGTATCCTGTCCTACAAAGTCGCTTCCCAATTGTTTTCAAGCCGGGATGAGGCCCGTCCCCAATAATATTGGACCAATTAAGACAGGTACAAGCTAAACACCCATGGTTTTAATAATAATCTAATATGTCTAAAAAAATAAAAAAAAAGACTAATAATCCCTTAAAGGCTTAAATAGTGTTTGGGATATTTTTAATTTTTACTAGAATGGAATATGGTGGCTTAAAAGTATGTTCCATCGTTTGATATATATTTAAAAAAAAATATACACTTAACCTTATATATTTAATATACTTTTATTCAATCAAATCATGACATATAAATTTTAATATTAATCATATAAATAATAATAATTTGTTATAAAATAAATAATCTATAAAAGATACATGTGTACTAATTTAATTAAAAATAAGTACTTAAAACATACAAAACTAAGCATATAAAATTTTTCCTTAAAAAAAAAGAGAGGAATGGCTTGAAAGTCCATTCCAAACTCACTTTTTTCTTACACTCCAATCTTCAAATCAGAGGGTTAAGAATGAAATGTTTTGATGTAAATTACAAAATTATCCCTAATTTCTCAACACTTACAATTCCTTCTCCTCTACTATAAAATAAGAAAAAAATCATTTACATGATTTTGTTCCATTAATGTTAGGGTTAAAGGTCATTTTTACCCTTCAACGTTACTGAAAGGTCACTAAACAACCTAAACTCAACTCTATGTCAATTCTATCCCTTAACACTAAAGCTTCCTTCCCTCATCCCCTATCGTTAACTCATTGTTTGTTCAATATTAGTGGGCTCCATATTCAATTTTTAAATTTTTTTACTATAAAATATTGAAGGTTATTTTTGTCCTTCAACTTTACCTCAAAAAGGCAATGGGCAATCTAAATTCACGTATTTAATAATAAAAATATTAGAAAATTGAATGTAAGGCCCACTAATGATGAATAGACGATGAATTAATGGTAGGTAACACGGGAAAGAATTTTTAACATTGAAGGACAAAATTGACTCATAGTTGAGCTTACGGTACTCAATGACTCTTTGGATAAAATTGAGAGGTAAAAATGACTTTTATTCTCTGATAATATTAGAATGAAACCATTCCTTCTCCCAATAAAACTCCCAAACTATAACATTCCATCCCATTTCAGTCCATCCCATTCCTTTAATAACAATTCCATTCCATTCCATCATAAACTCTCAAACATGCCCTCAAAGATGAGGGTAGCATCAACGGCTCACTATTACCATATTCTATTAAAAATAATAACAATAATAATAACTATTCAGACCATAAATATATGCCATGTAGAGTTTATAGCCAAGAACTTTAAAAAAAAAAAACTACACTTTTTTCCGTTCCATGATCATATGCACAAGTTGTTGGGTCATTTGGGGTCATTCTACGGGCAGGTTTACTAAGATTTCAATAAAAATGGAGATTAGATGAGACATGAGCATGTACTCCAAAGAGGTATCAGCATATACACACCAAAAATGGTGATTGAAAAGTATATAAATCAACAATTAAATCTAATAATACTCAAATCTGGCGTGATAGTATAAGATATCAGATGTTTATATATCAAAAATATACAAATTAAGCAGCAACATTGTGGGAGACACAAGAACTGATCCATTATCTGCGCAAGCTTGTAATAGAAACGCGTAATACATACAGTAATACACAATAATAACGATAATTGTCAATACAGAGGTATCACAATCATTAAAAAAACAATGATACAACTAACAAGAAGGATTTAGGACATCAATTTTTTTTTTTGGGCCTGAAGATTCAGAACATCAAACCAACAAGTCCTACCAAGGCATCTTTACAGATAGTGTTATAATCATGAAATATTACCATTACCTTGATGAGCCTTGGACTCAAAGAAGAGTCTTACAGTTGAAAAAATGGTAGAAGATTCAGCCATTGCACCATTCCCATAATCCCCACAAGCCAACCTCTTTGTAACAGGCGGGATGAGATTAATGCCAAGCTCATCAATGGCGATGAGATGCCTTTCTGTGAAAGGATTGTTCCACATAAAAGTGTTCATGGCTGGTGCAACAAAGAGGGGTTTGCTGTAGTCCCATGCTCTTACAATACATGTCAATAGATTGTCACACAACCCTCCAGCAATCTACATTAGAATATATTTAAGTTAAAAACTAAAGTGCATTAATGAACACACACCTATTGTAATTGTAGATATTATGTAAACTTCAAAAATTATACACCACATTCATGAATAGGAACCAACGGTGTCCTCTGAATGGTCTATATATTTAACCTTAGACCATGCGGTTTTAAAAACGTGCAATAAATCATATACAATATTTCCATTATGATACCACGTAGAGACATGGATCTGTAAACATTTTTAGGTTTGATTACCTTGGCTAGAGTATTTGCCGATAATGGAGCGATCACCATGATATCAGCCCATTTACGAAGTTCAATGTGAAGCACACTATCACCTAGCTTTTTCCAGCTAGACCATTCATCTTCATCAGTATATAAAATCACATCCTTGGGAATAGCCGTTCTATCAATGAAATGCAAAGACGCTGATGTGGCAACTCCTTTTACTTCTGCCCATTCAGAGAAACAGTGACAAAGATTTGCAAACTTTATAGCAGCAACACTTCCACTTGCAGCAAGAAGAATCCGAGGCTTCCTTTGGCCAACATTCACTTGGACATAGTCTAAAGAGTTTGGAGGCTCTGAACAAGCCATAATACAAAGATTCCAACAACTCTCCTATATTGAGAATTGAAAACAAGTGCTTCAGCTCACTTGATTGACCTTCAACAAAGATTAAAAGATCCCGTGAGAGGATGAAATGAAGTTTGCTAAAAGTTTTTGGTATTTGAAATTCTTAATGCACAAGTATAAATTCATTAGGTACATAAAACTCTGAAGACACTATGGCCACCACACACCATGGACCTATGTAAAAGTTTTCATATTCTCCTACTACTATCAAGTTACAATATCCATATCCTCGTCAATGCAACATATTCATACAACATCACTGGTTCAAACATATATAGACTAAAAGCTTCAAGTATCTTGTTCCCTGTTATGTATATGTAAAATATAAAATCCATCATTACAAATCTCAAATCATTAAAGTGCAGAACGAAGAAATTTCCTAAACAAATAGTGAGCATGCACAACAAATACTATTAAACCTAAAGGCCTATGCCCTACGTTTCGATGATGCCAAGTATGAAAACTAATATTTGACAACTATAAAGATGTGATGTGATAAATAAATATGTACTTACCTGATGACAATAAGTTACATATTGATTTATAAACTTGTCACATATGAACATTTCACATGCATGATTATATATGAAATTGTTAATTATGTCATAAGTATTGATTATTAAATGAATCATGTTATTATTTTACTATATAGTATACAATATATAATTATTTTAAACTACAAATAAGGCATATATCATAAATAATGCTGCTTCTTAAACAAACTAAAGGATTATTAGATAAATTTTGCTTGAACAAGTGTCTCGTTGCTCAAAATAGAAAATGATTAGTGGGGTGTATACTTGCCTAAAAAATTTTTGAAGGCATAGTGATCGAATTGCATATATTTTTTAAGTTAGAAAAAAGCAGCAGCAAAGCAAAAAGCATTAACCCTAGGAATATATGGTGGAATGTGGATATTGAGACTGCTAAAAGAGCTTAGAATACATGTTTCAACGTCTATGAAAGTTTGGTGTGATCTATGGCTAGAATTAGCATTGCAAAAGAATCCCATACATCATAACAAAATGAAGCACGTTATGATTGACAACTGATTTATAAAGGGGGGAAAAAATCGACTTAAGGTGATTGACTTGTCTTGTACATCTTCCACTGACCAATTGACCAAGACACTCTTCAGAGTTAGATTTCAGGAATTAAGTGGCACATAAGGTATGATAAGCATATATTCTCCAACTTGAGGGGAAGTGTTGGAAATTTTTGAGCCCATTCTCCCAAATGATTTTCTTCCCTTATTTACATCTTATTTTACCACAATTTTAGTTGTCATTGTGATTTTTTATTCCTGATATCTTTTCTAATGTTTTGCTTATTTCCACGCTTGATTTTCAAAGAGTAGCTGCCCTTGAGGCTACCCATCCTTTTAATGTTTTTTTTTTAAACGCTGTTGTACCATTCTAATTCAATATGCTGGAATAAACCTTTTGCGAACTTTCACATATAATAAAAGCACTCTTAAGTTAACAACCATTTCAAATATTAAAATCAAATAGCTAGTGACATCATTTTAAAATCAAACAATAAAATCAACATTCAACAAGATAGGCCAAAAAGTAAGTAAAAAAAAAAATTAGAAATCGAGTTTCACCATTCCGTTCATAGGCATCTGTTTCATTTTGTTCAACAATGGGAAAGGAGGTAACAAGATATATACATAATCATACATAAAAAGAAATTGATCATACCCCTTAACTGTTACTTCTGTACCCAACGTGAGAGCACCAGATCTAAGAGATTAGTGAAGGAGAGGCAAGAGAGCTCCACCAACAAAGAAACACAACGATGGCCGAATAGTGACGGAGTGCAAGAGACTAGGGAGATAGAGTAATGTGAACCGAGAGATTAGACAGGGACAAAAGTGTGAAGGACTTAGGGTCGTGTGAGATTATTGGCAGATTGAGAGAGATGAGAAAGACAACCTGTTCAAAGCATGAGTGACAATTCTGAGAAGAGAGGAAAGGGTTCCAGTTTCAAGTTTCAAGCTCCAAGTGGTTCAAAGGCACTTAAAAATGAACTAGATTTTAAAACCGGGAAATGAGGTGAAAAATTTTAACCTATCGTCATGTTTAGTTGGAAGGGACAGGTGAAATTTTCAGACTTGGCTTCTTTCCATTACTCATCTTTTTATTTCCTCTCCACTTTCCAGCATAATCATTGGATCCACATTTTAATTGTTGAGATTTAATGTTTCATAAAATTAATTTTTGTGTTTTTTAATTATAATAGCATATCTTGAATTGTAGTTTAGATGAAAATAGTTATTTTCTAAATTTATTTATTTATATTTCATAAATTTCACATTTTAGTAATAATTTTATGAAACATTAGATTTCAACTATTCAAAAATGAATCCAATGGTTGAGATGGGAAGTGGGAAGGAAGTGAAGAGAGGGAAAATGGAAAGAAGCCAAGTCCAAAATTTTCCCACACCTTCTTTAGATGGGACTTGTTAGGCAATATTATAGTTGAAGGGAAAAATTTTCCCTTCCCTCCCCTCCAAATTGAGAGAATTGAGAGGGATTCCTATGCAAAAATCAGAAGGCTAACCACATTAAGCCCACAATAATCTTTCCATTGGAACTAGTTTTAGGGTTAAAGAGCATGCTCAACATATCAATTATATCAATAATCTCTCAATAATGCATGATCATCACACCTCCCTTATGTCCTTGTAAGAGTTCAACGCCTAATGGGCTTGGGCCTTATGAGTTTTATGATAGAAACCCTAGATAGCCTTCTATCTGCTTCTGTTATTTTATTTTAATGTTTTTTGATTATTAGGGATTTTATTATCTTCAAATAATATCAGAATCTGATTTGATTCTAATATGATTTTATCATTAATTCCTGTAACTTAGCCTATGGCTATGTATTCATGTTCCAAGCCTAATAACAGTGATGCAGAGCCTTAATAACTTAGCTGATTACATGGTATCAGAGCGATGAGCGATTCTCCTCTCCAATTCAATTAGAGCCGGTAATTTGGGCCAAGCCTAACAGGCTAGCCTGAACTCGCACAAAAAAAGTTAGGGCCGGGCTTAGAAAACAACAACAACAAGCTTTTATCCCACTAGGTGGGGTCGGCTATATGGATTGCAAGACGCTATTGTGTTCTATCATTTACCAAGCTTTTAAAAATATCATCAATTAAGAGATCACATTCAATAACTTCCAAGAGTGTTCTCTTAGGCCTCCCTCTACCTCTCTTAACAGAGCTCAAAGTTATATGTTTCACTCTTCTCACTAGTGTCTTTCACGCTCTTTGTACATCCCCAAACCATCTCAAACGACTTTCTACCATTTTTTCCTCAATAGGTGCAACCCACACTTTGCTCATTTTAAATTTTATCTTTATGTGTATGTCAGCACATCCATCGTAACATTCTCATCTTTGCTACTCCAACTTTATATTCTTGCTATCTCATTAGAGCCCAGCATTCACGCCGGACTTAGAAAAATTATGATATTTTTATGTTCGAGCCCATTCGGGTAGAAAATTCGGGCTAAGCTCGACTGGGTTCGGACTTGGCCCGAATACCTAAATAATTTTTTTTCAAAACATATAAAAAATGATAAATATTAATTAATTAGTTAATTTTTCAGTCATTTTATACTAAAATATATATTTAAGTCTTATACATCATATAAGTATCAAAAAAATATATTTTGAAGATAAAATATTTAATTTTAAAATAAAAAAATTAATTAAAAATGATTCTAAAAATAAAATTCGAGTATTCGGGCTGCTCGAAGCCCGAAGGAATTTGGACCGAGCTTAGTTATTCAGGCTTTTTAAGGAGTTGGGCCTACTCAGGTTCAGGTTTATTCGGGCCAAGCCAGAATATGCTCAACCCACCCAAATTTCCAGCTCTAAATCCAACCAATACCAGTCATTCGGCACAACATTTGCCCCTAACCCTAATGCAACTCATCCTAATACCAGACATCCTTCTGTCGACCTATCTTCTCTTATCACTAGTCACAAACTTGATGGCGACAACAATCTCCAATGGTCACAATCTTTCCTTATGTTCATACACGGCAGAGGTAGGGAGGAATATATTGATGGCCGTGCTTGTCAACCTGCTACAATCGATGCTAAGTATGCTACTTAGCTTGCTGAAAATAACCAAGTCACGTCTTGGTTAATTAACTCTGACTCTTGAGACTGGTAAGAATTTCATGCTTTATCAAACTACTCGGGATATTTAGGAAGCTACTTGTGAACTCTACTCCTCTGCTTCTAACGGTGTTGTATTATTTGAGATTAAGGGTCGTCTTCATACATTGAAACAAGGCACCATGACAGTGACCATGTATTACAACTCGCTGCTCCAATTATGGCAGCAACTTGACCTTTACGAGGTTCATGTGTGGTCATGTGCAGCAAATGCTACCTATTATAAGAAGCTGATTAAGAGGAAAAGAGTTTATAAATTTTTACTCAGCTCGAATACTGTTTTTGAAGAGGTACATAGCCGAATCTTGAGCGTCTCACCCCTACCTTCTCTTTGTGCAGTTTTTTCAGCCATTCGACAAGAGAGCCGAAAGCATGTCACTAGAGCCTCTATTTTTCTGTCTTCTAGAAATGATTGATCACGAAAGGGTAGCCGTCTCTATTGTGATCACTACAATAACGCTGGCCACACCAAAGACACTTGTTGGAAGACTCATGGCCGCCCGAACAATGAGAAGTCTAAAGGCAAACGAGAGAGTAAAGGCTATGCTGTCTCTAGTGATGATACCCTTGTATCTAATCTCTCTCAATTGAAGGCACAACTATAGCAACTTCTTCACACTCTTAATAAGGAGCAAACACGAATAAGTGGATAGTAGATTTAGCGGCCACTGATCATATGACAGGCAATATCACTCTCTTTAAAGAGCTTCACTCTTGTATAGAAAAATGGGCTGTAAAAGTAGCTGATGCATTTGTTAGTGTAGAGACAATAGTTGTTTCTCCTCACATTGAGTTGCAACATGTTCTTTATGTGCCTAAGCTAGCCTGTAACTTGTTCGTGGGTAAGCTTACAAAATCTCACTTTATCAATGCTAATTTTCAATCTCATGGCTGCGCGTTTTAGGATATGAGGTTGGGGAGGATGATTGGTTGGTGTGATCATGAAGGTGATTTATACTACTTTAGAAGGCAATTTGATCTTGTTACCACTGCTCTTTCTACTTCTTTATCTATTCAGAGTTCTGAGTCTTTTGTTGCTGCTTCTACTCTCAATGAAATAAAATTATTGCACCATCGTGCTTGTCATCCAAGCATTGATTATTTTAAATAGTTGTATCCCCAATTTTTGAATAAAGATTTATCTTCTTTTAGTTATAATATTTGTTCTTTATCTAAACATACCTGCAATTCTTACCCTTCTCAACGCTATCAAGCTTCGCATCCATTCCATCTTATTCATAGTGATATCTTAGGACCCTCTTAGGACACTAGCATTTCCTGCGCACATTGGTTAGTCACGTTTACTGGATCACACACGTGATAAATCTGAGGTTTTTCCTATTTTCTAGCAATTTCATGCCCTTATTGAAACACAATTTCACACAAAAATTCAAACTTCACGAACTAACAATGCAAAAGAATACTTCAACACTTATTTTTCAACCTTCCTTACTACCCATGGGATCTTCCACCAAAAGTTCTTGTCCTCACACTCCACATTCTTGATGTCGCAAGTTCTCTCTTACTTGGCTCTAATCCTCCTAAATATTTGTGGGGTGATGCTGTACTTACCTCAATTTATCTCATCAACTGTTCTCCCTCCAAAGTTCTTAACTTTAAAACTCCTATTCAGGTTTTACTTGAACATTATCCTAATTCTTAGCTCTTTCATTTGCTTCCCTTGAAGGTTTTTGGCTGTGCTGCATACTTGCATAATTCTCACTTGTCTGAACTTGATGCTCATGCCTTAAAGTGTGTCTTTGTGGGCTACTCTCACTCCCAGAAAAGGTATAAGTGTTGCCATCCTCCTACCCATACATATCCTTTTTCCAAGGATGTTTCCTTCCATGAGCATCTTCCTTATTTCTCCCAAATGCCCATTTAAGGGTAGAGATTGTATCACGTGAATGGCCATTCTACCTTACGCAACCAGAAACTGAAACCACCAATGAGCCGCCAACTTATGTCCAAGCCCCATATTTCCAGCCCCTGGCTGAACTTGATGTTGAACCAGCCCAAATTGAAACTCATTCACATGATGAACATCCTCTAGAGCCAATAATAGAGCAACACAGGTCTGACCAGCCTGAAATCTTTTGAACATTTGAACACCATAGAGCAGAACATAACTATAGAAGCACCTTAACATCAGCTACACACATGCCAATCATCCACTTCTACCTCAAATCCTCAACAAAGTGACCTTGGATGGCCTATAGCATTGAGAAAAGGGGTAAGGTCATGCACTAAGCATCCTATGGGAACTTTGTATCTCATCAGAAATTATCTCCTGTTATGAAAGCTTTCACGTAGTAGTGTTGCAACCGAACAGATACCAAAATATGTAGAAGAGGCCATGAAAATTCTTGTATGGAAGGCAGCCATTGAAGAAGTGATAAATTCTCTTAAAAAGAAAGGCACTTGGGAAGTTACTGATCTTCCTAAAGGGGAATCCATTGTGGGATGTAATATAATCAAATGGAAGCATAAATAAATATAAAGCTAGACTAGTAGCAAGGGGATTCACCCAAACCTATGGAATTGATTACCTTGAAACTTTTGCACTTGTGGCAAAAATCAATACAATCAAGGTATTACTTTCGATTGCAGCCAATCTTGACTAGCATCTATATCAAATGGATGTAAAGAATGCCTTTTTGAATGGATCTCTAGAAGAAAAAGTCTATATAGAGATACCTCCTGGATTCAAAAATAAGAAGAACAAGAACAAAGTTTGCAAGCTTCACAAGTCACTATATGGTTTAAAACAATCTCCTAGAGCATAGTTTGAATGCTTTACTAGGACTATACAAAAACAAGGATATAAGCAATGTCAATCAGATCATACACTGTTTATCAAACAAAAAGATGGAAAGAAAACTATATTAATCATTTATGTAGATGATACTATTATTATAGGAGACAATATCAACAATATCCAATAGCTAAGGGGTCTTCTTGCATCTGAATTTGAGGTAAAAGACCTTGGTGCTTTAAGATACTTTCTTGAAATGGAAGTGGCACGCTTCAAGAATGGAATCTCAGTGTCACAAAGGAAATACACCCTAGACCTTCTCCAACAAACTGGTATGTTAGGGTGTAAACCAGTAGCTACACCTATGGAGCTCTCTCTCAAACTAGGCTTTCATGAAGATTATCCTCCTGTTGATAAGGAACAATATCAAAGACTATTTAGGAAATTGATCTATCTATCTCATACTCGGCCAGACATTGCTTTTCCAGTTAGCGTGATAAATCAGTTTTCTAGTCAACCTAACAGATCACATGACTGCTGTATTTAAGATCCTATGATACCCAAAGTCCTCAGCAAGAAAGGGTCTATTTTTCAGAAAAGGCTCTAATAGAGAGGTTGAAGTATATTTCGATGCAAAATGGGCTGGATTTGTAACTAACAGAAGGTCCACTACCAATTATTGTACATTTGTATAGGGAAATCTAGTCACTTGGAGAAGTAAAAAACAAGCTGTTGTTTCTCGGAGTAGTGCAGAGGCTAAACTCTAAGCTTTAGCTCATGGAATATGTGAAGGATTATGGCTTGAAAGGGTATTCAAGGAGTTGAATATTAATCATGGAGGGGCAATAAAGGTATTGTGTGACAACATGGCCACCATTGGTATTGTCAACAATCCTATTCATCATGATAGAACAAAGCAAGTTGAAATAGATCAACATTTTATTAAAGAGAAGATTGATAGCAAGCTAATTGATGTGAAGTATACGCCTACAAGGATGCAAATTGCAAATATTATCACTATGTCATTAGCCAAAGCCAAGTTCGAAAAATTAACAAGCAATCTGGGAATGATAGACATCTATTCACCAGTTTGAGAGGGAGTGTTGGAGTTCAGCGCCTAATGGGCTAAGGCCCTATGAGTTTCACAATAGAAACCCTAGATAGCCTTGTATCTATTTCTGTTATTTTATTTTAATGTTTTCTGATTACTAGGGATTTTATTATCTTAGAATAATATCAAAATCTGATTTGATTCTTATCTGATTTTATTATTAATTCCTATAACCTAGACCATGGCTATATGTACATGTTCCAAGCCTAATAATAGTGACACAAAGCCTCAATAACTTTGTTGATTACAATCCGTTACTTCTGACTAAATCCATGGACTATTAATAATGACAAGGCTAACTCTATGTGATGGGACAACCCAAGCACTTCGATCATGAAGGGTGACTAGGCCAAAGGCTTCGCACTTACTTTCAGATCATGGATTTTTCCATTTCAAATATTGGGGAGTCATGATACCCTACCCTACACCCCTTCTAGGGTGATATTAAGGGGTAAGTGCTACCCCACTCCCAAATTCGGTGATATTAAGGGTTATTAAATAATTACCAAACACTAGTGCCAAACTAGTGTCAGCAAAGTGTCACATGGACTAATCAAAACTAACTCTCTTAACGTGAACTCCCACCCATACTCAATATGATCATGCTTTTCACATATATGCTCAGCACAAGACAAGCCACAATAGATATCTAGTCCATCACAACAATTTCAAATATCATTTCATAGAACTTAGTGTAGCATTTCTCAATTCAAATCCCCACCCCAAAAAAGTTCAAAAGTGCAAAATATGATTTTATATATCAAAATAAGCTTATTTATTATTCAAAATCTCACAAAACAATTCCAAACAAGCATAGAGAGAGAATTGAGAGATCTTGATTACCTTTACCCTTTAGTTACCAAAGGATTACCTGTATAATCAATTTCCTTAAGCATCCTATCCTTGCTCTTACCATTACTAAACTATAACAGAATACCCCTTGAGCACCAAAGATCAAACACTATGTCAAGGGTTGTTTATTACATTATGAAGTTTATAAGTGTTTTTTACACAATTTAAATTTCATGCAATAATTTGTGAGTAGGCCACAACTCAGGGATAAAATGTAGTTTCTCCATGATTTATGACATTACACTGACCAAAAATAAAAAATTAGTATGCATTTATCAAGATTTTCCCCCAATTATTTACATCATCTATCTGTCAAATTGACAGATTTCATTGCATATATCAGAAATGCATTAGGCAACACATTTCACTCTGCCAACAAGGATAAGAGCTATTTCATTTTAGGTATATACAAATATAATTAAAATAAACAAGCAAACTGGCAAAACGCTGTTTGTCTTACTTCATTTCGCCATATAGATGGCCTCTTCAAACACCAAACGCATGCAAAGCACTTCTCCTGTACCTTAATCAACTGCAAAGAAATAACAAGCTTATGCTTTTGATTCTTGAACTTCAAAAGCACTACTTAAGATAGAAAGGGCAAGCAATCAAAGGCAACAGAAAACAACTTCACAGATGAAATGAATTAGACCAAAAACAAATGATGTACCAAAAGAAAACAAAACAAACACACACAAATGAAAAGCGAAACGAATTAATTGACAAAAAAATGAGGAAGCAAGGAGAAAACACAAAAGAAACAAACATTTAAGAAATATAAGAATAAAATTGCTGATGTCATCTATGATCTAACAGAGATAGGTTCTTGGAAAAAGAGCTATACGGTAGCCCACTGCCATTAATAATTGACTGATAAACATCATAAATACGAAAGAGCTAAAAAAGTAATGACTCAAAACTAAAAAACGCAGAGACTAAAGGAAAAAGATTCCAAGAGATATCTATTCAAAACTAATATTACAGGAAGGTAACGCTGTATGCCAACCTCCAACTGGATGAAAAGTCAGATTTTGCCATAGCATCCAAGATAAATTCATGTTTAGGGGGAAGATGTCCTTTTTACAATTCAACACGTCTGTACAGATTTCAATGTTCTTCTTTATTGCTCGTTTCTTGAAGAAAAATTATCAAAAAGAAAATAAAAATACTAACCTTACTCATCAAAATCATACTGGTATTCACTGCTTTAATTTCACTATATGCAATGAGTAACAAGGACAGGTTCAACAAAATGAATCAACAGCTGAATCAAAAGTAGTCTTGAGTCAGCTGCAAATTGTACCATTGGAGTTAATATGGGAGAATGCTTGATCCTAAGAATCAGAAATAAGAAAACAATAAGTCGGCAAAACAATGCTGCATACCTACATTATATTTCCATCCCAAGCTACTTTTCACTCATTTCCTAAATTATAGAATAGCATACACCATATGATTCATGAATAAAGAACACAATTTTGAATTTAACAACTAAAAGATAGGCATTTGTGACTGGTAATGCAACACTTTTTCAGCTGCAGAAATTGAAGCTTCTGCTTGAAAGCAAAATCAGAAAAATTACTCATTTGAAGATAATCATACCCTAACTTAAAATCATCAATTACTACTTAAGTTTTCTAACATTATAGTGATGATAAAAAGGACTTGTTCATTTTTTTCCGTATACAAACTACTACTTCGTCATTTTTTTTCTAGAACTAAACTCCATGAAGGAGGAAGCTAGGGCAAAATATGCAGAATTCCGTGACAAATCCAAACAAGCTCTTGCTATTACTAAACTATAACAGAATAACCATTGAGCACCAAAAATCAAACACTATGTCAAGGGTTGTTTATTACATTATGAAGTTCGCAAGGAGTTTTATGCATTTTAAATTTCATGCATTAATTTTTGTGAGTAGGCCATAGCTCAGGGATAAAATGTAGTTTCTCCATGATTTATAACATTACACTGACCAAAAATTAAAAATCAGTAAGTATTTATCAAGATTTTCCCCCAATTATTTGCATCATGTATCTAGAGCCGTCAAATTGACAGATTTCACTGCATATCAGAAATGCATCAGGCAACACATTTCACTCTGCCAGCAAGGACGAGCAATTTGATTTCAGGTATATACAAATATAATTAAAAGCTAGAACTTAAAAGGTGAGACAGTCCATTGGGTGCGAACTTACATCTGATCAAAAGTTTACATAGGGAAGAGAAAAACTTCCAAGCTTCTCCTCGCAGTCCTTGTTATAAGAGAGGTTTAACAACTTTCATATAGATTAAAAATACTAGTTAAAATTAGTTACTCTCGATAAATTTACCCATATTTTCAATCACTTTCAAAAATCATCTTTCCTCAATAAAGCTTTGTAGTCTTGTTTCTCTCTAGATAATTAAGGATACATGGGGAAAACAAGTAAGTAATGCTTCTAAAAATGAACAGAGTTTCTTATAGAAAAGAGCAAGAAAACTTTCAAAGATATCCCTTGTAAAAAGGACTGGAGGGCATAAAAAGCAATTATGTTGTACAATCAGAAATAAGAAATATCCTAAGCAAAGAATAAAACTTAAAACATCTTCCTATCTGGACATATAATGAATAGCCAAACCAAAGTTGTTGGCAATATCAAGGGAACGTCATTTCCATTTTCAACATAGGAAAACTTAATTCAAACCATCATCTCAGAAGTTCATAACGAAATAGCTGATTAGAAAATATATACTGTAACACCTCGCTCTCAAAACAGAATATAATTAACCTCCAAATAATATATAGTCTGAAACGTCTATCAGGATCTCATGAGCAAATGAACGTGTTTATAGAACAAAAGAAAAAAAAAATAGATTCATGGCGATGGAACCTGCAAAGACAATTTGGAAAATTCACAACCAATCAAATTTACGGCATTGGAATTTACACCAATCCCTTTCCCTTGAAAGAAAAATATAAGACAAATTCCATTTCATGGAGAGAAAAACGAGGCACGGAGTGTTAAGACGAAAAGGGAAACGACGCAAGAGGATGAAACAGGGTTGCACCTATAGAATGTCGCGTTAACCTGAATAAACATGCAATTCAGGATTTAAGTAACAATTTCAGAGATGTGAGATGCGACGGAAATGCGTTCTGGCGTTCTCAGATGTTTTCGAACTTAGTCCTCATACGCGTTAGGGTTTAGTCGAATACTCGAATCAGAGATGCGTTCGAGTTCAACTTTTGTTCCACTGAAGTGAAGAGAATCCGAGCGAAATCATCAGAGATGCGTTCAAACTTCGGAGAGGGTCTACGGCCGAGCTCTCAGTTTTCGTTCGGGTTCGCGGATTGAATGAAGTTTGAAGAGAAACAGAGCTAGGGCAACTAGGCGATTTTGGTAATAAATTACAATATTAAAAATTAAAAAAAAAAACAAAACAAAACTGGTTTTGACATTTGGAGCTGGAAAAATATACATAAATAGTGGACCGGCCAAACTGTGTAAATCGTTGTTTTTTTCAGTTTTCACAATTCTTGAACCGATTTACCGTCTTTGACCAATGTAATTCTCCACAGGTTCACATGCATCCAATGTTGTTAAAATCGGATCGGACCAAACGGTCTGACCAGTCCAACTGCCACCCGCTGAAGAAAATAGTTTGATTCAACTAGTTGAACCAATCTGGCATTTGACTCGGGTTGAACCAGTCAATTTTGAGAGAACCGGCTTGACCCGAAAACCGAACCCAAGTCAAAGCCAAAAAATTTTTTTAAAAAATTAGGTTAAGTTGTTTAGATTCACAATTTCTCTTCTCTAATAATTAATTCTCTCTTTTCTTCTCTTCTCTAATCTCTAATCTCTCTTTCATGGTCCAAACTCAATTTCTAACTTCTCCTCCAACATCCGCCTCCAACTCTGAAGATCCAACCTTTAGCATTAAAATCGAAAGCTTGTGAGTCATGACATGACAGTATGCCTCTAGCTCTAACATTTTTCTTTGAGATCACAAGCTTATACTAACATGCCTTTACCTATAACTCCAATGATCCAAATATCTAGTTTTTGGGGTCGAGATCTCAAGCACCATTGACAAATTAATGTTTTATTTATATAATTGCACATATAAATTTTATTTTTATTTAATTTTTATGTTACCGGTTCGACCGCCAGTTAGATCGTGAAAATCATAACCCGTTGCTCTTTCTAGTTCGATGTCCGGTCTAGGTTTCAAAACATTGCATGCATCAATTGAATCAAACCGATCATTTTTTTTGTTAACTAGTTGAATCGACCAATCTTATCCAATTTTCAAAACAATGCACATGAGACGTTAAATATAGGATTGATGATTATGAAGGTTTTATGCCTATTCTAAATGTTGAGAAAGGCCTAATAAGATAAGGGTTGATAAAATTTTAATACTACACTATATATTTGACATTATATATTTTGTTAGAATTTTATTGTTATTTTATTTTTTTATTTTTTATAGTCTATCATTTTCCCTTTTTATAATCAACAGACACTTGTAAAAATTATTTATTCTAAAATACATAAATAAATATAAATATGAGGCCTTTTTTTTAATGTTTTTCAAGGATTTAAATTTGAAAGGAGCTGCCAATGGCTTTAGTGTGTGTTTGGATTAAAAAATGTATAACTGAGGTTAGGATTTAACTGATGTTAGCAAATTGAGAAGAAAAGTCAATTGATGTAACATGATTTATATTTGGATATCTTTTTTTCAAAATACAATTAGATAAACTGAAATCCGTTTGGATAGTTTAATTCAAAATCTAGTTAAGATATTTAACGGAAAAAATAAGCATGAATTTTTTTATCTTAAATAAGCATGTTTATATTTTTTGACTAACTAAAAAGTAAAAAATATTAAACTTAAAATCACAACTAATAAGTAAAATATCTTAAAAATTCAATTATGAAAACCTAAAATAAATTAATATTCAATTGATATGATTTACAAGTTGATCTCTAATTATATCACGAATACACTACATCTATCTTAACGATCCAGATAGATTTGATGAGGATGCCTTACCAATATCGGTATCTTCCTCTTGTATATCTACACTTTTATCTTCAGCTTATATGAACTGCTCGTCAGTAATTAAATTTCTCCTAATAAAGTTATGTATTACCATTGTTGCACAAACAATTTAAACTTGTGTTTTATATTTAAATTTAGGCATTTTTTGTATAATTGCAAACGTATTCTTCCACACTCCAAAAGTTCTTTTTATAGTGCATCTCAAACTTGAATGATAATAATTGAAGACCTCATTATTGTTTGCAAATCTTACAAATCGCCTGAAGTTTAGAAGGTGATAATGTTTGCAACGATATGGACCAAGATACCCATTTAGTGTCGGATAACCAGAATCAACTAAATAATATTTACCTATTAAATGAAAGGAAGTGTTGTAAATTTGACCAACATTAAATCAATGCAATAATAATTAAAGTGACTTTAATAAAATATACTTGAAGGTGGATGTGGAAAATGCATTGATGGAATTGATATGGCATTATCAAATACTTGGGCATCATGAGCTGTACCTTCCCATCTCACAATGACAAAAGTAAAACACATGTCTCAATCACATACGGCCATGATATTTTGTGTTGCATATTCTTTTCTTCCAATAAATTTGATTTGATTAGCAACACTAACCACGCATGGCACATCAGTGCCATCAATTGCTCCCACAGCATCCTTAAAGAATGGCTAATACCGTAGATCATTTTGAATTTTTGAATGACATCGTTGAAATAAAGGATCAAATGGCTTTATGTTTTCCTTGGAAAGGTTAAGGCAAGTAGCTAATACTTTATGAAAATTTCAATGAACAGTTTCCCTTGAATGCTGAAATTGTTCCTGTATCATCCTATTACCAACTCCATGTCTAACTGTATTTAAAAACATTCCAACCATTTCTTCAACTCCCATTTTTTTTAGATTTCTTTAGACCAAGATCAACTAGTATCATACATACTTGTCTAAACAAATGTTTTTCCATTCAAAACATTTCATAACAACGATCAGGATGACCTTGCAAAATCTCATTGACCCACATTTGCCCTATTTGCTTGCTAGTTCTCTGTGGCTCTTTACACACATATGGCATCACATATTCACTAACTAATTGACATATTTCTTCTTGCTTAGTTATGTTACACGCACGCATGTAGAGCACGACAAGTCAAGGAAATAAAAACCAGCAAATCGAGTTCCAAAAAAAACGACAAGTCTTCCTCTGCTCTAAGATAAACGAACAAGGGATGGAAAGTAAAGAAGGATAACAAGCACATATCAGTTTTGGAACAGTAGAGCACGACAGGTCAAGGAAGAAAAAATCTTCGAAGAACGAATAGCAGAGCATGACAGAAAGAAAGCAAAGAAAGAGATGAAAAGAAGGATCTTACTTAGCAGAGACAAGCAATAGAGAGCAGATCTGGTGATGGGAAGTGCAGATCTGGTGGACACGGTGGAGATCGAGAGGTGACTAGAAGAAGAAGCACTTCAGAGCAGGGACACTGTGGACGCTAGAAAGGACGACAGTGAGCTGGAGATCAGTCGGAGGAAGCAGATGACTAAAGCTGGAGATCAATTGGAGGAAGCAAGTGACTAACAAAAGGAGGTAGATTTAAGGTGTGTAAAGCTTGGCGCAAGATCTGAAGTGTGTGTTTTGGAGAAAATGAGGAGGTCACGGGAAAAGCAACATGCACAGAAGCTAAAGGCACAGCTCGGTAAATAGAAGAGAAGAGGGAGAAAGCATTATAATTTAAATTCATTTAATGCTTTTAACAGGCTGTAACGTGAACGCTGAGGAGGAAAAGCTAGGGCAGTGAGCTTCTTATTTAACACGTGTTTTCATGCTAACTGAGGTTGAAAAATTATGCTAATCCAAACAAGATATTTTTAACATTTTACCTCCTAACCTCAGTTTCTCCCATTCTAACTGAGGTTAGAATGTAATCCTAACATGCTTAGTCTAATAGAACTTAAACTAGCCCTTGTCAACTGACAGGCTACTAACTATGCCTTCTGCTCTGAGGTACAAATTAAAAGATCAAAAGTTCACTCTAACCAATCAATTCAATTCTCTACCTCCTTTGCCTTTAACTGCCCATTGAAGGTGGGAGGGTTCATCTTTTGAAATTGTTTTAGTAAAGAAATATGCTCATCTAGACCCCTAAGCTCATTACTTGCACGACCAACCCTACCCGCTCTAGCACTGGTACCATAGTTGTCAAACTTTCGAGTTAATTCTATGAGTTTAGTGTTTTTACATTTCTAACTTACAAAATTGTGTCAACTTACTCGTAAATTCGAACTAGATACAAACTCAGTTAAACTCGTGAGTTTACCTCCGAGTTTCTTATTTTACATTTTTTTAACTTATAAAATTGTGTCAACTAATTCATAATCTTAAACTAAATGCAAACTTGGTTAAACTTGTTAAGCTCGTCAATTTTTTTTTTTGAGTTGAGTAAGTTAAGTATATATTATGAAGAATTCTTTTCATAAAATTTATAAGACCTGATTCAAAGAAAAAAATTGAAATGCAAAAACTAATATTAATAAAAAAGAAAACAAAAATATTAAAAATAAGTTTCCCTATTTTAAAATTTTTATGTCTTGTATATGATAATTATCAATGTAGATGTGTTTAATTTCAATAATTTATATTTTTAATATATTTAAATTAAATTACAATCACATTTTAATAACTATTTGTTAATAGAGATAAACTCTTACAAGTTTATGATGCGAGTTTATATTCCTATTACAAATTTACTTAAACTCATGAGTTTGATAACCTTGACTAGTACCACCACCTAAGATGCCATCACTAGTGCCAATGCCAGGGTTATCATTCTGCCCATTTATGCCCTCATGAAGTAAGTGGATCGCTTTATTTTGTTCCCAAACATGGTAAGACAAACTCTATACTAACACTTTTAAGCACCAATGGGCATCATCTTAACCCCTACAGCCTCTGCCTCTACCACAACCAAACATAATGTCCTAATCAATAATACAATAGAAGTCAACTAGCCCTATTTATAACACAGACCACATTTGAAAAGGGAGTTCATAGTACTAGCCAAGTGTAACCCAAACACAAAAGCAAAACTAACAAAACACACAATCAATCAACCAATTTGAGCTAAAACTTGGCTCTAATACCAAAATGTAACACCCTTGACTCATAATTTGATATAACAACTTATAAAATAAAATTTCACATTCTTCAAAGACTTACCTATGATCTTGCCTTAAGGAATTTGCCACATACATAAATAATATAGCCTAAGCTAGTAGAGGCAGCTTCCATTTTTTAGGCCCAACATAACCATACAAAGATAATAAAA